AAAAGTAAACATATGAAGCAGAATCTAAAAAGTTTATTAGTTATCAGAGTTGTTTCATGTTATCACTCCTTCCTGCACTTTAAAATGATTTTTTTTGTACAAAATTAACAATATAAAAAAAAAATATTAGAAATCAATCACAGCTTACACCTCAGTTCTGCTACCCCCTCCCATAGATGCGTTATCGGTCCTTTCATTAATCAGTCAGTCTAGGAGCATGAAACGCATCGCAGCGATTTAATATTAGTAACAGCATTTTTCTCAGAATGTTATCTCCTTTCCAGCACAGATGATGGGCTCTTTCTGACATGCTAAAATTGTTTAAAAAGCACCACAGTAAGTATGCTGCTAGCTAACAGATGCTACTAGAAAAAAAAACACCCGATAATACTAGGTACTGTTCAGTTACATAGAAGGCTATGGATAGCCACCTTCTGTAAACAGAGAAGTTAGTTTATAAACTATTTTAGAATACAATAGTACAGCTCAAATACAGAAATCGATGCATGAGGCACGCTGCAATTCTAACCAGGAGTTCTGGTGGCATCCGAAAGCACGACAGCAGAGCTCCCGTGATCAGCTAATGCCACAAGAACCTGGAGGTGAAATGAGAGATTGATGTACCTTATTTATTATACATGTATTACAATTAATGTTAATGGAGTTGTTGAAACTAGTAAGGGGCTGCTAGAAGCACTGATCCACCGTAGGCATCTGCAACCACAAAGGCTACAGCACTGCTAAAAACAACTGTACACCCTAAATGCCAATTCCTTAGCTATGCTACTTTATGATGTTTCAGTATCTACTTTTTAAAAATGAAGGAAAGAGGGGGGGAAAAAAAAATCCACATACTTACAGCATCAAGAACCACAACAGCCACTGTCCTCACCGTAATATAAACTTTTACCTTTTCTTTTCTCCTTTCTTTTTTTTTTTTTTTTTTTTTTTTTAAATCTTTCAAGAGAGTCACACAAATATTCAGATTAACTTGGCAGGTCATGTATCTGGACCTAGAAACACGGGTTCTTCTACTGTTTAAGTAATTTTTCCCCACTTACAAGCTGACATTCAATACTGCTCAGAATGTTGCATACAAGCAAATAAAATAAAATAAATCTGCTTCAATTACATCTCCCAGCAAATTTTAGATGGCATTCTAGTCAAACCTATCATGAACCTCTTCTCTGTCTCCAAGCCTGAGAAAAAGCATGATGTCACATGAAGAAGTCATATTTTGAGGTTCAATGACTTCTGCACTACTTCAGATTTATTTAACTTCTTTGGCATATGCAAACAGGAACTACATCTGACTGCAACTGAAATGAATATTACCCTCCGGTTGGTTTTGTAACAAAAAGAGGAAAGATTGTTAATGACTATTCCATTACATCAAAATAGTGCAAAATTTTATTAAATTAGATGAACATGTTAGAATCTGTGCAAACTGTTAATATCTGGCATCTTCTACGTGATCCTTTCCACTAGCACACTAAAAGGATTTTTAACAATTATTTTCTCATGTACCAAGCACAACAGACCTGTATGTTCTACACTCCCTGAAAACGGACTCAGATATGCTTCGTTTAGCAAGACCGAACCTTGCTGAAATAATGGTAAGTTCACATTGATTTCAGAGGTGATTTCAGAAGTTTCCTCCATTATGGAAGAATTTCACGTAAGTGGCCACAAAGCTGAAACAACCAGGAGGAAAAGAAAAAAAAAAGGGAGGGGTGTCTAAAACCTTAAAATAGAGCTTAAAGCAAACATGGTCAGTCTCATAGCAAGATGACATCTGCAAAGTTACATGACTGACAATCAAGCAATCAAGACTACACTGTAAAAGTTGTGTATTTTCCCAGTCATTTGAAAACACACGAATTAGAATTACTAACTAGATTCAATAGCAGAAAATACATGTTAACTAAATAACAAGGATTTCTAAGCAACACATAGCTCCACACAATGCTCTATCACATACTGCTCCGTCACAAAGGTTACAGGAAAAGGCAAACCTAAACTTTGCGGAAATATTTCAGAATAGCTAACCTTTCTTCTTGTTTTTTAACAAACACATTTAATTTAGAAGTCATTTAGTTGATAATATATCATCAGTGTTTGAAAACAAGGATACAACATAAGAAGCGGAAGTTCTGAAGAAAGAGTACAGTTTTGCAGAGCATTTCCTTTTTCTCTTTAAGCGTAGGTTGCATATTCTTTCTCATTCAATCCATTCACCTATAATATTTATTGTCTGCTTTTCATGTATTTTAATCCAGTGTTTTCATACACATCTTATTACTCTATTTATTTACAATATACAAAATTAAGTTTTTCACTAAGCCTCAATCCGTTCTCTTTAGTTATATACCAACTCACACAGAACAAAGGATTCTTTCTTTAAGTCCTCAGCTACCTCTAATTTTCGCCAGAACAACTTGGTTCATGCAAGGCAACAGAAAGACTATCCACAGTGTAACAGTGGTACAAGCCTCCTGCAAGTCCAGCTTTGTGAGTAGACTTGGATTTGACCAGCTGGTTCTGTCCTGAAGACAGGAAAATCAGCAAGATGAGGCCAAGGCCAGAACACCCAAGAGACACACTAAATCAGTGCAATTTCTGCAGCAACCTCCCATAGGCAGGACTCTAGAGCTTAAAATCTGTTTTCCTTGGCAAGTGCCACAGTGAATGATTCTGCAACTCCCACAGGACTGCCATTACCACTACCCTTGAAGTGAGTATTTTCACTACCACAGCTGCCATTTTAGGTGAAGAGACTAGAGAATGTAGGAAGGCAGACTGTAAGTGAATAAAGTTCCTATGCTACAACCATGGATGTACCAAACCATTAAAAATATATTGGGTTCAAAATGCAGAACTCTGATACCATTACTGATATGTAACTTCTAAACTTTCACTAATTCAGGAAATCTGTTCTAGCAGAAAGTGATCTGAGGGGAAGAAAAAGAGTACATGCTGAGGACAAGTTTAATTTCAGTGGCGGATTTTTTCCTCTGTGACCTGGGGAGGGGGGGGGGGGGGGGGGAGGCTGCCTCTGAGAAAAGCTCTAACCCTACTCCACCAGTATAAGAAGGGGAAGACAACACGTAACAGTTCAGGAGCAATAAATCTCACATTCTTTTTCTCCCTCTTCACCTGTGATGGCAACACCACCCAATGTATTCCTGGAAAGCAGTCAGACACTCCAAAGATAAGGATGATGCAAGAAGCTACAAAAAACACAGTATTCTAGAATTTGAGGAATATCAAGGAGGAAGATTTGATCCTATTTCTCATGCTTTAATAGCTAAATTGTTCTGACAATTATATGTCAGCATAGAAAACGTTTTAACACTTACAAGCAGAAACCATATCATGAACACAAATTATTGAAACAAGAAAAAAAAATTAGACCATGAGAGCGGCCATGCTAGGTCAGTGTACTGCAGCATCTGTCTCCAAGAGCAGGTAAAAGCAGATATCTGTGAAACACTATTAGGACAAGGCAAGCACAGAGCATTACTTTCTCAAAATAATGTGTCAGCCTGCAGTGATTTGCAGCTCAGGAACTTCTTGAGCAACAGACAGTAGATTAAAAAGCTACCTGAATCATCTGCACATTAGGTGCTCAGCTTTAAGTACCATGCTGTGTAAAAGCAGTCGATAGTCCTGATTTTTATAAGTTACGTATTTTCACAAAAGTATATTGGCTAGTCAGATTTCCTCCAAGATATCCAGAGCCTTATTGCATATAATCAGCCTTTTGCTGAAAGGAGTGTGGTAAGCCATTTGGTTAACTATCACAACAAATCATTATTAATAAAGTTCTGCTAAATTCAAACTTTAGATATCTTAACAACTCACCCAAAACTTTTTTCAAGTTCATTAACCTCTAGCATATTTTTTCTCTAAATACAGGCTGTTAGAGTGGTACTTTCTTCCATCTGTTAAACTACCGTGCTCTGAATTACACAGAAATGTAGCTGAATAAAAAAGCGATTCATTGAATTTAATAGTTTATATGAGACTATTTTATTTCCATTTACTCAATGGCAGAATTCTCATAAAGCCTGAAGAGTATAAGGCTTGGATAAACATGCAGTCTGTTAAGTGATAAAAATCTGAGTTTTTTTCCCCTCCCACGTAAAATTTAAACTAACTCAACTTTTACTTAAGGACTGAGTAAAAGCCTCCAGATTCGATTCTGGACGTCCACTCTTGCGGGGCGGGGGGTGGGGGGGAGGGGGCGCTTACAAACAGTAAAATGAAAATGTTGAGTTTGTAGCAAAATGAAAAATTCCTACAGCTGACAAAACACAAGCTGAAAAGAACTACTGGTGAGCTAACCTTCTGGAGTTTTCGAGAAAGGTGTACCAAGAGTATAGTAAATGCCTTGGCGGTTACCTCCAAGGATGGAATAAGCTTATGGAAAGTCTCCAGTCACACAATGTTTGCATTACACTACATCTCGACTTCAGAAAGTCATTTAAACACCCTCTTCACATACCTGAGCTTTCATCCCATTCAGAGACCGTAATAGTACTTTTTGACTGTTTAATCTTCAGTGAAGCTTAACATAATTATGTACATTGCCACGTTCCTGGTCATTCTGCTGCAGTAGCTTCACATTAGCAATATGTGAATTTCTATGCTTAAAGGTGCCATACAATATGATCTAAAACGTTATTTTAAAGTATCTTTGTCATATCAAACACAACAAGAACAAAAAGAACAGCTGTGCTCTTCCTCGCTCTTCTTTCTGCCCCAAAGTATGGCACCTCTCATCACTGTAGCTGAACATTGCCTTTTCTTCACCCCAGTAATTCACTTTCAGAAATTATAGTTCTTAACTCACTTTTTATTTAAATCTCCGCTTTTAATGACTCAGGGCTGCACATGTAGCCAATAACTGCAAGTATCTTTAACAACTGTTGGGAAGCCTGTGGCAAAAATTAGCAGAATGAAATTGGTACTATAGCATGTAATAGGATAAGGGGTACCTGGTGAGGTGCAGTTGGTGCTCAGATTTACTCAGCAGTTCTGTCAGTCTTAGGCACTCCTCTCTGGCTCCTGTTGCATCCTGCTGGGCTTGTTCCAAACGCTGTTTGTTTCCATTCAGCTCTAACCCCAGTTTTTCTATTTTCTTAGAAAGACATATAACCAAAAAAAGTATATTTAAGAAACGTAGAGAGATGCATTTTAAGATGATAAATCTTAATGTGATCAAAGCTCCTAAAAAATAGAGCATTTTGTCTGAGAACAGAAGTAGTTTATACAGACTGAAAACAGGCAAATTAAAGTATTTCAAATTACATTCTTATGAAATGCCAGAAGGCATAACATATTTAAATACATTAATACAGAATCAATCTTATTGTCTTCAAGGGCTTAAGAGATACATGCATTCAATCATTTTCTGATTTTCCCATCTGAAGGCTTCCATATTTGTGTCCAGAATTCACTCTATTTGAAAGCCAGTAAGCAGAAGAGCAGTGGCCAGCTTCAGAAGCCACTGGATAAGCAGAAGAGCAGTGGCCAGCTTCAGAAGCCACTGGATGGAGGGTAGCTCTTCTGTTCATTTAGTTTCCTTGTACCACCTATTATATGAGCAACAACATATAGGAATCTAGCTTTTGTTATATTCACTCAATATTATGCAAGAGAATGAAGACTGTTTTGTAATTTTACCATTACTGAAAATAACTTATTTATGACTGAATCCTACAACAAACCAGCCACTGTTAATCCTGTAATTTCCTTTACCTCGTTAGGCTTTATATGTCACCTAACCTCAGTCAAGTAAATCTAACTTGGTTAATGCGTTTACTAATATATTACATGTAACTCTCAGTGCATTTGCACGACTAGCACCTTTGCTTCTAGTGAAAACATACCAAACTTACTATCTCCAATTGTATCATAGTTTCAAAAATTTAAATATTTTTTTCATAAATATTCTTAAAAGGAACATATTTTGCTGTAAGTCCATGTAAAACTTAGGTATTTGTAAGAATACATTTGCACCATAATACTGTACTTTGTCCTAAGGATGCTTTTAAAGAGGCCAGTGAAATACTGAATAAGCTAACAATGTAATTTTGTCATGTAATAGCTATTCTACACTAACTTCCTATATAAATATTTATTCTTCATTGGGGCCGGAGGGAAGTTGCATGTTTTTCAAGTCAACTAAACTGTGAAAGGTCATTTGTAGTACAGAATAAAATTGTTCACATAAGGAGTTAGGGCTGAATAGCTACGATACTTTAAATTCATACTATAACTTATTTTGTGTTAGCTTCCTCATGCAGACAAGCCTTAGTATCTTCTTCAGTTAACATATTTATTCATTCCAACATCCTACAAGAATAAATGAATGTAATTTGGTGCCAATATTTTCACCTGAAGCACCTTCATAATTATGTTGCCTCTGTTCTTCCCATGGAAACGTTAGCCTAAATCATTTACAGTAAGTCATGATGTCTCGGACAAATACAATCTCCTCATCCAGAAAAAAGGTCTCATAATGTTCTCTTTCTTTCTTTCCTTTTTTTTTTTTTTTTTTGGTTAATTGCTTAACATTATCTATATGCTTTTTCCTTTTCAGACCGTTCAGAGAAGGTCCATGAAGGAAATCTTGGTTAAAATTTGAATGCTGCATTGCCTTATTACATAGACTACCTACTAAATTTAATCAGCAATTTTAAGTCCTAATGCAAAGATAGAGAAACTGTTTGCAAAATCATTAGTACCCTCCCTGAAAAGAATGCAACTCTTAGTTATACCGTTAGAGTATTTTAAAAACAGATATGCAAAGGTATTCAGTTAAATTATTTCCAGAGGGTTGCATACTTTTTTGTAGAACAGAAGTCTCAGAGTATTCTCTATATTCTTGGGAGCAACAGTTCATTAATATTATTTCCTCATTCATAGTAAAGTGGGACTTGAGTTCTTCCCTGCCTTTACAAGCTAAAGATAGGAAAATTCTGCAACATACTGGAAATGTGTTTCAAGAATACATCCATTCAGCAGACCTTTGAAGAACAAAAACACAATTTAGTGGAAAAGTATCAACTAAACATTTGAAAAAGCACAACTACAACTGCGAACATAAATACAGTCTACAATCACTCCTTCAGGGAAAAGTTTCAATGAACAGATGGGCTTTACGTTATCCCCTGGAGTTAAACAGACTCAGGTTCTGACACAGACCTACAGGAGGAAGCAAATTCTAAGTACAAGAACTTCTGGTGAAAGCGTTCTGCCTTCCTCAGCCTTCATCAGATGCTCAACCTGCAGGCTTGAACCCAAGGCTGCATCTAATGCATCCATTGATTTCAGTTGTCATGAAAGTGCAAAAACTAATTCTTAAAAAATGATGCCATAACAGAATCCTCAAAGATCAATAAGAGCCTTATGACTTCCATTAAAAAATATCAAGAAAGTAAGAATAGCTCTTGAAGAACAATTGTATTCCTGTTATTGTCATCAGTAATCCCCAAATTCAGTATTATCTCTTTATATATATATATATACACACACACACATGCAGGTGTGTGTGTGTGTATATATTTCAAACTAGCAGTCTTTTAGAGGTCATCAAGATGTGAGCTATATGAAAAGCAAGAATTCTAACAAAAAAGTCTGGCAATGACCACGGCAGAAACAGTAATCAACTTCATGAGAAAAGGACGGAGAAAAAATGTTGCCCAAGAGAGCATGCTAACCATAACTTGGGAGCCAGAAACGTCCAGTCCAGGTAAATTTAGGGACACCAACTAATTTTTTCTTTTACAAACACCAGAAACAGTTAACTAAAAATAATTTGGTAGTGGCCAAGCGTCATCATGGCAAAAACACACCCCAGACTCCAAATGCTACACGTGACTTCCATTGAATAACTCAAATAATAGTTCAAAACATACAAAGTCTCAGAATTTGAGATCAGTTCATGCAACAACAAAAAAAAAAACAAACCCCATCTTTCCCCTGAGAAAGATTTTAGTCCCACACATGTGGTGACATCCTAAAATAGATCAAATCACCTCCATCACTAGGGCATCACAATATAAGTGGAATTTAAGACAGAGAAATTTCCAGAATCAGTAAGTCTTATTTACTGTTCCTGCAGGGGACCATATCAGACATTATCTTTCCAAAATCACTCAGATTCCAACTAATTTCCGCGTTACTTTTGTTCCCATTTCTTCTACTGGGAAGCTGCAAGCAGTTCTACATTACGGTTGCTATCTGGGCCTCAGCTTAATTGTAGCGAGAAGCAGAAACAAACCACCAACTAAAGTATCTTGATAACAACTCTACTTCTCATGCAGCGTTAATTCGATCCCTCGGAGCCTATCACTTGTGATACAGCTTTTTACAACATGATCAGATAGTATTTCTTCAAGATAACTTAACTTTTCAATGTGTGTGAGAGACAAGGAATAGAGTGCAGAACTGCAAAAAGACAGATGACAATCTCGCACTTAAGAAAATCTTAAACAGATTTTCAGTATAACAAGGAACAGAATTATCATAATGTATATGTACAACAAGACTACATTAAGGTTGGAACAGACAACTTCTGATGCTTAACTCTGCAACTTTAATATTCTTATTACTTCTGAATATAAATTTGAAAGTATTACTTAACCTGTGTCTTGCATTGCAGCTGCCTAAACTCCCAGGAATATCAACAGGCGCTTTTCTGCTAAAAGATGGCAGGCTAAGCCTCAGTAAGAGAAACATCATTATTAGTGAACTGAAACACATTAACGCCATTCCCCATGCATATCCAATTCAGTTCAGAAAACAAAGAAAGAAGTTTTACTAAACAAAAATTAAAGCATCAGTGAAATATGACTGCAATACAATTTTGTTCTGTATAAAGTATTCTTTTTTCAGCATTACAACTGACAGTCGTTTATATTTTAAGTTCCGCTTTTTGAAGTATACAGTACCCTTTGCGACTCTGTTCTTGTAACCCTTGAAATAAGCATTTCTTGTTCATTAGAAGGTAATTTCTAATCTAATCATAATTTGATTTTCACAAGGCATTTTCAAGTGAGCACACTGTGGAGCTGCTCATTCAGTGAAATAAACGTAATTTATTGGAAAATGTAAAAGATGATTTTTCAAATACCGGGCTCAATCTTTAAACACTCTCTTCATGAATCATGCGAAACTATCTTCACCTAACAATGCTTATGTATATGGAAAAAATTTGCTGTTTAATTAACTAGACATCTCTTTATGCCTACAAAATCTGATAAAATGAAATAATAAAGTAATTCTGTTTAAAACGAGCCAGATTAAAGATTAAAATAATTATTTAATTCTTTTCATACTGATGCCGATTCTATTGTACTCAGAAAAACGCAACTTTAAATTCCAAACTAGCAGATGTTTTTCATAGAATTTTAAATAGCAGCAAAGCTGACAGAAAAGACAAATGCATCTTTTACAAATGAGAATGATTAAGCTGTGATAAAAGAACTCATATTCTGAAATAAATGCAGAAAAAAACAACTTTAGAAGCCTTTTAACAAATCAAAAATACACTAAAAAAACAAACGAATTAAAAAGTGATTTATGACATCTACTGTTGCACCAGTCTTCTCTCACATCAGGAAAGAAAACACACAACGCAACCCGGAAAAAAATCTTGCATTGACTATACCACCACATACATTCAGGAAATAATTCTGGAGGCAAAGATATCTTCATGAGTTTTTTGTTGTTGTTGTTTTGTTTCATGCTTCATTCTGTATCATAATCAAAGGAATAAAGGGGCATAAAAGGGAATCAAAATAGAAAAACAAAGATAAAGTAATGAAAAGTGAAATATATTTGCTATTTTTGCTGATATTTGCAGGTACAGCCCCAAAAGGCAATCAACACCTACAATCACATATACTTCAAATTAACACATAGTAAAATTTTACAGGCCCCTCATGCTCACATGTTTATTTTCATTTACTAAAATAGCCCTTCAAAGCAATGAAATTTGTAATAGTGCACAGGACCGAGGATATAATTATGCTTCTTATAAGAGGTGCTACCAGTATGGTCATTCAAGTACTCTTAAATATGGTATGTAAAAGCAACAGGGAATTTCTACATGGTTTAATGCCCATCTCAAAC